ATGAGGTGCGTCGCGTCCCGGGGCCGGGCTCCGGCCCGGACCCGCATCCGCGGGCTGCGGAGCAAAGAGTAGCCGTGCTGCAACGCGGCCTCGGGAACCGCTGCTTCACCTGCTCTCCCTTGTCGCCGCCGGCTCTGTCGGCGCTACGGTGACAGCGCCACCTCTTTGCCTTACAAGTCATCTACGTGGCAGCTGGCTGCCTTTTTCGTGTGGTGCCTTTCACACGCGCGCACTAGTGGCCCTTCGAGGCCAGCGTGGGCCGAGCGCGGGATCGGAGGCTTTTTTCCCAGAGGAGGAGAGCGCTGGCTCGGTAAAGGTGCTGTTTTTTCCTCTCTAGCGATACGGGACAGAGTACTTCTGCTGAAGGAACACGGTCCCTTTGCCAAGCGCTCTCCTGCAACTGAAAGCAGGGAACAAACGGGGTGTTTGTTTCTGTGAGTAGGCGGGCTATCTTTCTCCTCCCGGTTAGCTTGTTGTGGCATTGAGATAAATAGATATAGAGATACATGCATCCATATATATGTATATATTTTTAGGAAGTTTTGCTCTCTCCTGGAAGTAAAGTAGCATTAGGAACGAGAAGTGCTGCAGCGTGAGATTCTGTACCCTGTCTGCCAAGCTAAGCAGGTATGCGTGCCTGGTTTTGAACGCGCGCTGCCTGACACCGGCACAGCCTCAAGTCTCTACCAGCTGTGAGAAGTTGGTAGTGTTTGGTGCAAGCGCTGGACCTAGGGTAGCGGCTCTCTTACTGTAGCATGTGGCCTGTAGCAGTTTTAAAAAGAAAACTGTGTCTCACAGGGGATTGTAATCATAGGGCAGAAGCAGTGATCTTTCTCATCTTGCATCCAGAAACCTGCTGGCATAGTTGTGTTTATGAAAAAAAAAAAAAAAAGATTTTTGCAAGTGGTATCCCTAGGGAAAAGGAGTGCAGAGCAGCCTATCTGTAATTAGATTCTCTCAGTTCCTCAGGGAGCTTTTGAAGCTCCGAATTCCTCTTGTTAAGTTTGGCACAGACAGACCAACAGTGTCACTGAGCCCTGAGGCCACAGGAAAGGGCTGAGTGTAGCTCGTTGGCTGGAAAATGCTGACAGCTCTGGAGAGTCTAGTTAGTGAGCTAGATTGTGCTGAAGGCATGGAAGGAAACGACTCATGCGCTGTTCTTTCAGCTGCAGCTGCACGGTAGCTTGAGAAGTAGCTCCTTGTAGTCCCCACTGACCCACTCATGTTCTCTGTGTCACAGGATGTGATCCAGGTATCTAAGAAATACCTTCCAGGGATGGCAGTGGGCTATTCCAGTGCTAAGCTGACCTTGCACGTGGGAGATGGTTTTGAGTTCATGAAACAAAATCAAGAAGCCTTTGATGTGATTATCACGGACTCGTCTGACCCCATGGGTAAGAGTTCTGGCTGTGAAAGGGTACTGCTTCCCATGCTTTTCCTCCTTTTCTCTTCCAAATATCTCCTGGAAGTAACGCTAGGTTGCCGGGTCTCCTTTAAAGTCCCTGACTTGGTTCTCCTGGTGGAGAAAGGGAAGGATGATGACCAGGAAATTGTATTAGCTAGGCTTCAACCAGGTGTCTGCCACATTTGTTTCCTGAAAACCCCATTCCAGCAGCTATTGCTTCTGGCAGCAAGTTGATCCTTGAATCCAAGGATCCCACAGGGGGATACAGCACCTTGCTGGCAAAGGCACCTTTGCACGTGAGCTTGCTAATGAAGCACTCGCTCACGTGCCGTTGGTGTAGCTACTTAGCCTAAAGATGGCTGTAGCGAGGTCCTTGCATTTCTGAAGAAAAGAACTGAGGTAGAGGGGGACTAAATTTAGTTACACTGCTGCATTTCAGGGATCTAACATCGGGTGCCTGAGTCAGCTTTGCTTTTGCTGTAGTCAACGCAGAGAAAAGCACCTCTAGAGGGTAATTGAGAGCAGGAGTTCAGTCTGCACAAATCTTACTGAAGCAAGAGGCAGCTGCTAGGACTTTCTTTGGGAAAGGTGCTGGGCTCGCTAATGAGCAAAGCTAAAATCCTGATGGTTCTGCTGTGCTAGGTGTGGGCTGAATCCCAGGCTCAAAAGTCTTTGCCTCCAGATTATCTCTGTCACTGGAAAGCCATTTGAAACCTCTCTTTTCCAGTACGGTCCCCATGTAATCTGGGCGTTTAGAGAGCCTTCGGGAATCTACCTTCTTAGACTCTCTCCTGACATCTCTCTTTGCTCCCTTTTCTTCTAGGTCCTGCAGAAAGCTTATTCAAAGAATCCTACTACCAGCTGATGAAGACAGCTCTGCGAGAAGATGGGATTCTCTGCTGCCAAGGTGAGGATGCCGTCTTCCCTGGGCAGAGGCTCATGCCAGACCATTGCATGCAAAGTTTGAGGCGCAAAGGGGACTGTTTTCTTGGGGAGACGTGACTGAGTGAAATCCCATTCAGCGTCCAGGTGCAGGAGTATTTTTGATCTGTACTTGTCAACTCGTTAAACTGCTGGACTACACTTTGTATAAACCTGGCATCTTTTATCTCCGTTCGCCTCTGAACTCGCATGAGTTGTGCAGAGTAGAGCAGGTTTGGACTTGGAACCGCAGTTAAGCTGGCACAGGCCTGTGCAGAGCAGAGGGGGCAGCTCTCACCTTGCATCCCGTCTCCCTGCCTCCCTGTAGGTGAGTGCCAATGGCTGCACCTGGATCTCATTAAGGAGATGCGTCAGTTCTGCAAGTCTCTCTTTCCTGTGGTGGAATATGCCTATTGTACCATCCCCACGTATCCCAGCGGGCAGATTGGCTTCATGCTGTGCAGCAAGAACCCGGTGAGTTTCAGGCACCCGAAGTGCTGATTTTTGTTCTTGAAAGCACCTGCAGAGCCTGTCCAGGATGCCTCTTACAGAGCCTGTGCTGTGGGACCGAGCTCTGCCCGCTCGGAAACCTCTGGGCTTGTGCTGGGCCCAGACTCTGACAGCCGAGGTCCTCAAAGCTGCAATGCAGCCTGCCTCAGTCAAGTGCAGAATTGAACTGTAGTGTAACCAGCTGCCTTAGAAAAGGGAGAGATTTTTTTTTTTTTTTCCCCTGGTACAGCAGACTTGGAAGGAAGGAGACCAATAGCTGTTTCCAGAGTCTGTTCAGGCTTTGGCCTGTGGACGCTGTCTGTTGTGAAGTGGGCTTCAGGCATCTCCTGGTACACAGGCCTCCAAATGATGCTCGGTTTCAGCATGTGGGCTGGCGACAGAGAAAAGAGCCGTTTCCAGCCACTGACCAGTGAGGTTAGCCTCAGCGCTCTCCCCAGTCTGCTGCCTTGCAGCTAGCCTGTAATGCAACTCTCGTGTTGGTTTAGGGAGCCAGCTGCACTGCTGCTGCTGCGTTTGCATTGTCCGGGGTACTGGCAGCATGTACCGTGCCTGACTTAACACAGAGGTGGATTCCGCTCTGAAGCGCAAAAGCCTTGCTGCTTAGATGCTCAGACACAATATGAAAGCTTCGTCTGGCACTGCTCACGTGGAGGCTGTCCTCCTACATGGACGTCCGTGAGTAAGGGATAGTCACGTGAGGTAGGGAGCGTAAACGCAGGCTCCCTGGGCTCAAGTTGTGCAAAGCCTTTGACCTCACGCTAGAAAAGAAATTCATCTATTTTCCTGTGCGTCCTCTTGGTTCTTTGCCGTGAATTGGGATGCCCATCCCACAGCCCTTTGCTCATTACCCAAGGGCTACAATGCTACCTGGCTTCTTTGTTGTAGAACACAAATTTCCGGGAGCCTGTGCAGCAGCTCTCACAGCAACAAGTAGAGGAGAGGAGTCTGAAATACTACAACTCTGACATCCATCGAGCAGCTTTCATCCTGCCGGAGTTTGCACGGAAGGTAAGCAAGGCTGTGCTGCTGCTGTTCCTCCACCACCAAGGCTGAGGTGTGACTCTTCTTTGGCTGAGGATTTCCTGCAGCCCTAAAGGCTTCTGCAGGCAAGTCAAAGCAGGATAGCACTTTGTATGACGTGGCAAAGTATGAATCAGTCTGGGAAGACTGGAGTTCAGTTGGCAACTACCCTTTGGGCAGGAGTCTGGGCACAGACTGGCACAGTTTGGCACAGACTGGCACAGTCTGGGCACAGACTGGCACACCAGTCCTGTGCCTTGCTGGCAGATCGCTCCTACTTCTCTGCCCAAAAACAAGCTTAAGAGCCTGCAGAATTGGTGTTTCCCATTGGAAAGCTCCAACAGTCTTAGCTAAAACTGGGTTGTGGTTTCTGTTGCCAACCAGAGCGTACAGAAAGGACGCTCTGGTGTAGTTCAGGCTGCCTTCTCGAAGGACAGTCTGTATTTCTGCATCATTCCTTCATCTCCTAGCTGGGCTGCAATTGCAGGTTCCAGAAAAGAGAGGTCTGCTCAGAGCGTCCTAGGGACGAGGGCACACGCCACTGTCCTGTTTTGAAGCCAAGCTCCTGCTGAGGACTGGTAGCGCTGTGGCAGGTCCATCCTCACGCTTTTGTTCTTTGGCTTTCTCCAGGCCCTGAGTGATGTGTGAGACTTGAGAAGCTGCTTTCTCCCTTCAAGTTGGACCCTGAGATCATCGGTGATGTGGTGGGGAATCTCCCAGCAGACTGCAGATTTGCTCCCCACTGTGCGGGATTTTTAACCCTTTGCCAGCCAACATTCCTACTGACGATATGTGAAAGATGATGGGGCATAAGCCACCTAAGACTATTGAAAAGCTCCAGTGACTTATTGCGTGGGGTCAAAACTGTTCTTTCCAGTGCCGGAAACGTAAGATGTCTTTTTTTCCTTTCTCCTCCCCCTCCCTGCACCCTTTTTATATCCCCTCTCCCTCTTTCCCCCCCTCTCCCCCCAGCTGACATGGTATATTTATAACTGACATGTATTTCTGTCTGGCGATCTTCTGAAACTTGGGAGGAGTCCAGAAGGTTCACTAACTCAGCCTTAAACACAGAGAGCAAGAGCTTTGTGTGGAAAGTTAGCTTGCTCTCTCCTAACGGGAGCTCCCTGCTGCTGAGACGTTTTGACCGGTAACAGGTCTGAGCCTTCATGTCCCACTGCCCTTCTGTGACACCTGCACTGCTCTGCAGCACAGTTGGAGAAGTCACAGTGCAAACCGCTGTCATTCACAGTAGGTCTCCTTCCAACCCTGATGGAGCAGCAGCAGTATTAAACACCAGCCAGGCAGGCTGGCAGCAAAGTTTTGTGGCTTTTTTTTTTTTTTTTTTTTTAATTGGGTGGAAAAAAAAAGGGGGAGGAATATATATATATATAAAAACAAACCTTAGATCCATTGCCTGCTGTACAGTACTGATGAAGGGGAGTCAGTTGCTCTGAAAAGTCTTTGGTCTCGATCATGCTGAGATGCCCCAGGCCTGGGTATTTGCTAGTCCTTAAGAGGTGTCATTATTTCTAACGCTGCACCCAGAACCCTGAGATACGTACGTTGTTTTTCATTGTACTCTGTTGTGAGATGGATCTGCCTCCACCTCTTCACTTTTGTTTTAAAGACTCGAGCCACCGCTGTGCAGTGGATATCTCCCCAGCATGACCACTGTGCAGTTATCACTCCCTTGCAATCAATTAAACACTCGGCTCTGGTTAAGGTGACATCAGTGTGGATCAGTGTGCTTCTTTGGGGAGAGTATGGGGGTGGAAACGGAGAGCCTGAACGTTTGCTATGCTTGTCAGAAGACATCCAGGGGCACTCTCTAGTTGGTCTGACTTCCTCTCTCCCTTGTCTCTAGGAATGACAAACGTCATCAAAAATAAACTCTGAAGAGTGATCCAGTTGCTTGTACTGTATTGTAACTTTACTGCGTAACAGCTCCAGCTTCTGTCATCCTCTGCAGCGCAGAAATCAGTACCCTCTGTCCCAGCTATTCTCTAGTCCAAACTGCCTCTGGTCTGCCTTTCCAAGCTATTCTCTAGTTGCCCATCTCCCTGCAAGCGTCACTCGGGTCCTGTCAATCACTGGCCCCACTCAGTTGCACCATCTTTTCCTCTGCAAAAATTGCTGTGGCTAAGTGGCTCTGAGGGTCCGATCCTGCACTGAACTCAAGCTGCTGAACAAGCTGGGAACAGTCGCTAGGTGGCATCAGGAGAAGCCAAAAAAAGGCTGGTTGCTCTGAGGGAGACTGTTTGGTTTGGTAAGAGAAAACAGGAAGGAGCAGAGTTTTACAATGGTTGGGGTTGAGCTTTGCCATAACTGACCATACAAACAGCATAGCTGGTGCAGCTATTGAGCGCTTTCAGCAAGGGACTTGGTTAGCGTCAGTTTTCCCTTCTACTTTCTCCCCTTTCTGATGAGACTTACTACTTCACTTTCCTGATTTCCTCTTTTGCTACCAGTATCAGTACAGCTTCTTTGTGACCTAAAGGTATTGCAAAGCGTTGCTGAGTTGCAGAGCTGAGTCTGGGTCTCCTTTGTATTCTTGTGTGCAGCATGTTTAACCTCAGCAGAGCCAAGATGACGCCCATCTTGCCTCTTAGTTGTCTCGGATAACTCTGTCTCCTTCCCTTTTTCTCACAGCTGCTGATTTAGTTAGATCTGTCCCTCTGCAGAGGGCTATTTGTGCATTTACACTGCTTAACTCTTGTATTTATAAAGAACAGACCGGTACTGGAAGCTGGTTCTAGCTACTCCTGTTTAAATGGCTGTGCACCTGAGCCCCATTCAGCCCTCCGTCCTTGACAGAAAACTACCTCTCACATCTTCTCCTCTCTCTTGGAACTGGAATCAAGGCCAGGACTGTAGTCCAGGAAGGCCTCAGAGCAGCTGCCAACTAGTAACAAGTTCAAGGCTTCCACCCACCCTGGGTGAATACAACAGTGCCCAGGAGGGGAAGAGCTCCATCAATCCTGTTACTAACCTCTGCACAGCTAATTCTTCCGTTTCCCAGAGCTCTCTCCAAAGCTGTAAGCTCAGTAAGTGGTCCAGGCAATTGGCCAGTTACGAGAGCAGGAAGACAAGGCTGTTTGCCATCCAAATTGCACATGATCTATCCGCAGGGTCCTATATATAATTTCTGAGAAATTCCAAATCGCTGTTCTTTATAGGCAGTTCCAAATGCTTCAGCCCCTTGCAAGAGGTGAAGATACAGATCAGTGCCTGAATCAGGCATTCATTAACAATGCAGAAAAAGCAGGAACAAGAGTTTGTGCATCTATAGCTTGGTTCCATCTGAGTGGCTCCAAACACTTTATGACTGCTGAAAGTCACCCCTGTGCTGAGAGCTGCCACAAGGTCTACATGCTGCTTAAGCTGCTAGAACAGTATTTGGCATGGCAGTCATCTGTCAGGCAATTGTGCGTCTGCAGACTGATGACCCCTCCCACAGATGTGCGAGGTCTGAGCTGTTACGCTGTGGGATGCTATGGCACAAAGAGCTGGGGTTTCAGAAGAGACTGGCAATTTGGGTTATGCCCAACAGGAGAAAACTAACGGGGCCCCGTACATAATTGAGCCCTGAACGCTCAAAAGCCAATCTTTACAGCGTCTCTGGGTGGGCAACTAAAATATTTGAGTCACTCTCTTGGAGTTTTAGCTGGCTTTTGCCCAAGGCTAGTCGTACAAGGCTGTTCTTAAGCAAAGCAAAGATCCGCAAAGATGCTGTTTGTGTAGACATGCTGCAGTCATGTTGCAGCACCTCATTAAGCTGGGAGCTGTATGATCAGGGATAGGCCTTGTCCCAAGTAGCTTACAGCGCAGTATCAGTCAGAGCAGGTGGAGACAGGCGAGACAGCAGAGCCTGATGGGCTTCAGCACACCAATTGCTTAAGCCTCTTGGCGCCTTCTGAACTGTGTCAGACTCCCTGCTCTGTGCTTTATTCATTGCACTAACTTAATTTTTAGAACTTCAGAAAACAGCTTAACAAAAATTAAGAGAAATCTCTTGCCTGTATCTCTTGAGCCCTTTCAGCCAGTTAATTGGCATGAGTGTCTCATTCATCCAGCGCTAATGCTATCAAGGCCTGGCTGAATTATTGACGGAGCTTGGCTGGAGCAAGAGACCGCTGAGGTAAGAATGACAATTCATCTTTCACCAGAGAGCAGCAGCCTCAGTAAGCAAACAGGCAAAAAGTAATAACAACTGCCGTCAAGTTCAGGGAGAGGAAAGTTCCTTTGATAAAATGGAAGGTGAAAGAAGAGGTAAAAGTTTAGACAAAAGCCTGAAGCAGCACCTCAGGTCCAGAAAAAGAGAGTCAGACAAAATGACATTAAAAAGTGAAATGAGAAATTTACTCAAGTTAAATACTGAGACGACTAGGCAAAGCAAGCTCTTTTCCGGCCATGTACTGGAGGGAGTTAAATGCTTTTTAAGATATGCAAAAGGTGGGGAATTAGAGCCAGGGAATTTCAATTATGGAACAGTGATGTGTGTAGCAGATAAAGGCAGGGGGGATTATTATGAACGCTAAGGATCTCAGTGGCAGGCCTTTCAAGGATGCCAGCTCCGTGGCGAACAGGGTTTGGAGGGTCTGTTACGAAGGAGGAGAGCTGGCCCCGGAGCATGACAGCAGCAGGGGGGCTGCCCTCTCCTTGGTACTGAACGGCTGCCGCCACTCCTCGCCGCAGCCTGCCGCCGCTCTCCTCGGGGTCATCTCTGCGAGGAAATTTGCTTAACACAGCTAATTCTGCATGCCAGGAATAAGGGAGAGATGAAGTATGCAGTGACCCTGCACGTGTTTCGTCCCCCTGCAGTTGTAAAAGAGGAATAACCAGGGGCTCAGCCTGCATGGAGCGTGCGAGTCCGTGCCTGAGGCTCTCCGAGCGGAGCCGTCTGTTCTGCGGCGCTGGCAGTCTCACGGTCCCATGTGTTAACGTCACTGGTCAGCTCTTTCGGACTGCATTCCCATACGGCACGGCGCATATGCAAGCCCCCAGGAAATCCGACTGGCAAAAGGCCATTTCCATCCAAGTCTTGTCCAGACAGCCTTGCCACCGCGAGTCTGGTGGTCTCAGCTGTAAAGGAGGTCAGTTCATATGCCAGTAAGCAATAACACCAGTGTCATCAACCTGCTTCACAGCTTGAAATGCCTCTTACTTAGAGCCAGGCGAAATATTTTCAGTGGAAAATGGAAGGATTTTGAAATAGAAGTGTTTCATAGCAACTAGTTGAATTTTTTTTTTTTTTGAGGAGAATTTTTGGTGAAAAAACTGCCATGTGTAACTTTGCATGATGTTTAATTAACAAAAGGTTTTGACCATAGCACTGAAGTGTTACACTCACCCTCCCTTCATCCTCCCCCAATCCCTTTGGGGGTGGATGGACAGAGAAGGCAGCACAACTCCCCCGGCTCCACCTCCCTAGAGGGCTTTAACAGGCTTGTAGGCATGCATGCTCTGACAGCAGCATCCCTGCGGTACTGCCCTTCCTCCTCCCTGCACCTGCTCCAAAGCCCTGGTCAGAGATGGGTGGGGAACTGCAGGCTCCAGCCCACGCTCAGGCAGTCTCTTCCCTGGGTTCGTTAGATGAGGGCCGACGAAAGCCATGGCTGGAACAGCCACCTGCATGCTTCTCAGAGGGCCCCGGGGAAAGGCGATGCTGTTACTAAGGGAATACTGCAAGCTTGGCTTGGTAAATGAGCTGTGATTTCAGGTTCGTGAACAAATTGGTTTCTCCTTCCAGGAAGGCTTGCCACTGCCAACTGACTATTGCTTTATTTATTGCATTGCCCTTTGCCACTAGGAGCCCTTAAGGGTGGAAAGAAAGGGTTCCAGTGATGGGAGAGCAAAAGCAGACCAGGCAAGAAACAGGCAGAAGACAACAAACATGCAGGCCATAGAGAAAAGCAATTGAGAAATTACCTTATTCCTCATTGTGGTATTTGGTGCCAGCCACGGTGTTAGCTTTTGTATTCTGGCACTGCTGAGAAAGTGCTGAACAGATGCCCTGAGGAGAGGGCAGGCAACTCTTCACTCAAAGACCAAACCCGTCCCCCTGCGTATTACTTGTTCACCCTCAGTCACAAGACGGTAGCCGTTTTACCTGGCTGTGCCAGGATATTCTGCTGTGTTCCCGAACCAACCCTGCATCTCTGCTGAAGCCGCGCTGTGAGCCAAAGTCCTTGTTATCTAGCCAGGCCTTTTCAAGTCGCCCTCTATGCTGAACTTCCACCTGGAGCATGCCCTCCTTTACCAGGCTCCCACGGATGTCTTCCTGGCCATGCTGATTTCAGATAGGTCTACCCTCACCGTAAAAAGGCAGAAACCTACTCAAACCACATG